AAGACTAATTTTGCTTTGGTCAATAAGACTAGATTTCCACATTCCATAGTTTACTACTTAAAAAGCATTTCAATGACAGACTCTTTTTGTCCAATAATCATTTATGTTCTCCCCAGGATTATTTTTCCTGGCAACACTAGGGAGTTCAGACCATTTAAGCAGCAGAACAGTTTTGGTAATACAGTGTCTAAATATAACTTACTTCACTCAGATAGTGATATTTTCCTTGGCAATTAAAAATCTTATTAAGATACTTATTTTATTTATGAATTCTTAATGATTTAAAATCTCCTAAAGGAGACCTTTCTCATAATAAATTTTATTCTACGGGTGGGAATGCTCTAGAAGGCTCCCAAGGATGAAATTGTGTTGCCATGAGAAAACAAGTTATGTGCCAGAATTTTGGCTGGTGTAACTCAGCATTACTCTGTTAAAATCAACAAAGCAACACCAGTTCATACCAGTTGAGGACCTGGTCCAAATGGTGTCTCTAGAGAGTTACCTGTTAACATGTTATCTAAGCAATAAGTTATGAGTCTTGCTCATGGAAGAAAAACATAACCCACCAGAGCAGACATCAATCCTTCATGAGTCAGGAACACATGCGCATCAAAGTACGTTAAAAGACAATAACTCTGGCATAAGAGATAATAATGAAATGTATGTAGCACACTTGTAGGTAATGCACATAAATCAAAGACTCAAATAGTTCTCAGTCAAATTATAAGTAACATTTTTCATTAGTCAGATCAGCTGGGCAGCTGGCAGTTGACTCTCAATGAACAGGGACGGGGCAGGAAGAGACTTGGCACACTCCCTGTGTCCCCAGGTCCTGATTAACCTGGGGGCAAGCGGAGTGTGCGAAGTCTCTTTCCGCCACTAGGGGCTTAGAAGTAACCACCAGCTGTTCAGAACAGTGGTGGTTCTCTCGGGGCTGGGGTGGGGTCAAAGAATTTATGCACTTCCCTCACCCCCAGGCCAATCAGAGTCTGTGGGCAGGGAAGCACTGGTGTCCTGATCCCACCCCTTCTGCACAAGGCACCACGCCTTCCGGGGTGGCCCAGAGCCACTACAAAGATTTCTGAAGAGGCCCCCCCAGCTAAAATTATTGCCTACCCCTGCCCTAAAAGGAGTTTGGAGTAGGTTTGCTAGGTTATTGCAGGGGGAGGGGTTGCAGTAGTAGCTACCCTTATTTCTGCACTGTTGCTATTGGCAGCACTGCCTTCGGAGCTGGGCAGCTGTAGAGTGGCAGTTGGTGACCTGGATCCCAGCCATGGAGGCAGAGCTACTGCCAGCAGCAATATACCATACCATCCTTACTTCTGCACTGCTGCCTGCAGACTAGGGCCTTTAGTCAGCAGCCTCCAGTTTCCAACCACTTGTCTCTGAAGACAGAAGCACAGAAGTAAGGACAGTATGGCATAGTGTGATATTGCCACCTTTACTTCTGCGCTGCTACTGGCAGTAGCTCTGCCTTCAGGGCTGTGAACCAAGTCAATGACCTCCACTGTCAAGCCACCCAGCTCTAAAGGCAACACAGACATAAGAATGGCAATACCTCAATCCCCCTAAAATAACCTTACAACCCCCTGCAGCTCCCTTTTGGATCAGGACCCCCTAATTTGAGAATTTTGGTCTCCTTTACTTCTGCGCTGCTACTGGCAGTAGCTCTGCCTTCAGGGCTGTGAACCAAGTCAATGACCTCCACTGTCAAGCCACCCAGCTCTAAAGGCAACACAGACATAAGAATGGCAATACCTCAATCCCCCTAAAATAACCTTACAACCCCCTGCAGCTCCCTTTTGGATCAGGACCCCCTAATTTGAGAATTTTGGTCTC